AAAGAAATCTTGCTAACTACTCACGTTTTATACGGAGGGAACTTCATGTTGTTTTCTCTGCAAATACTTTGGCACTAATATAACATATTTTATTATTGCACTTCGATACAGGAATAATCTTGTGGTTTTATTTACAAGTATATAATTTCTATCTTACGGAGACACATACTTAGTATCGTACAAATACAATTAAAATGAAAATGAATAAATGTAGGAATGAAAAAATGTGAATAAACTGCACATTTCGAAAACATTGTTTAAAAGTAATGAAACAACTGCACTTTTTTCATTTCTTTCAGATTTCATAGATTCATTATAAAGCCATAAAGTCATAACTTATAAAATAGTGTTCCTATTAATGTTTCCTATTATTTCAATTCTTAAATTTCACAATTTTAAGCACAAATGTCAATTGAAAAATTTTTATGGATTAAATAGCATTACGTTTTAATTGACAAATAGTTTTAATGTAAAACTTCAAAGTAATATAGTCTAATATTTTGTAAGCAACAAAATAAATCATAAAGTAAGCAATATATTACTCGAGTAATTTTTTATTTTAATTACTGAGTTGTAAATATTATGCCTCTATATATTATTTTTATTTATAACCGTAATGCATTTAACCACAAAAATTTGTAAAATAAATAGGTGGTCATAAGTAAAACTCGCAAAATTTTGTATTTTATAAAGAAATATAACCAACATAAACAAGTGAAAAGTTATAGACAAAATTTGATAACATGTAAAAACACCATACAGTTACAAAGTGTTTTTAATATCTCAAACTATTATACAAAATAAAATAGCGATGTTCTACCATTTTATGCATTTTTTAACAAACAATTGTGTTCAATTTCAAAAAAACTTTTAAACATACATATTGTTTTATCTTATATAACAAAAACCTTTATATTATATTTTAATAACTATATAGTGTTTGTCTCTGTGTTAAAATTCATTGTACAAAGATTGCAAAAATATGTTTCATTATTTTTTTACGCGCATAATGGGTCAAAAAAATTAGTTTTAATAAAAAAACATGACAATTTATTTATAATATTTCGTTATATGTTTATGCATGTGATATAAGGATGGAGAGTTTTAAACGGAACATTAAACAATTAATATTCACGCATATAATTTACAGATACAGCGCTTGTGACAATATACAGTATGACATGAAATAGCAAATCGATGATCTAACAGTTTGTTACTGCTTACGGAACAATACTGAACAATATAAACGGTACACAATTATAATCTTTACATTTTCTTCATATACTAGAAATAACTTCACTGTTATAATTTTTTTTATCATTTTGTCACATAAAAATAACAGAAATCTATTCTTTAGTAACTATAGGTCACAAAAGTATTTAAAAACATTTCTATACATAAAAACAAATTTACTGTCAAAACTAAAAAAAAGTGCTGTTTAACATCCCACTATTCTTTCCTAGTGCCTCAACCATGTAATATAACTTTTAGTTTTACATCGTTTGTCTTCCAGATGGTATTAAAATTTAATACAGTTTAAAACAAAATTTGTTATACCATCAATCAAGAAAATGACAAAATTTGTTTTATAAATTAGTAGATTAAACGTTTTTCTTCAAATCGGGCACTATAATCTCGAATATAAAAAAAGACATTCTTGTCAGTATTAAAGAGCGGACAAAGATAATAATTTCTACTTTCTTTCCCCGTTCTTTTACTGGTGTCTGTGTTACGTGTGCAAACATGTATGTGGATTATTGTAATAATGTTAATATCATAGGCTGATAGGTACATACAAAACAACACACAATAAAAACAATAACATAATATTAACGTGACGCTCACAATAATAATAATAATAATAATAAAATAATAATAAATTTTTTAATAATATAATAGTCTTAAGAATTTTAATAGTCGCGTAATAAACATTGTCAGTGATATAAGTAATAACTAATTACAATCAACTCTTGCAGCGAAGCTCGAACAGCACGGTAAACGCAATGTAATGATTGCCACCGTTTAGTCAAAATTTTTCCATTTCCATCGTTCCACTTGAAATTATTTATTTCGCGTTATCATTTATAGTATGTTATAATGTATTTCATCATTGTTATATATAATTAATCGTTACAGTACCGTGGCAGAACTATACAGTTGTGTGTCTGGAACTCAGTCTCTCACAATTCACTCTGTAATTCTCGTCTCATCCTCTTGCATCCTCATGCACTCATACATTCAATTTATTCATTTTTAACATCCGTGACTATTATATAGGAATTTTTTACTCAGGTATTCTCTATTTTTATTTCTATTTCTTCTTCGTACACATACGTACACTTTTTCTTTCTTTTTCTCTCTTTCTCTCTTTCATTTCAATCTCACTCTTACTTTTCATTCTCTCTCTTTGTCTTTCTTTCCTCTTCTCTCTCTCTTTACTCCTATCGATTTTTCTGATGCAGAGCGCGTGTCTACTTTTTATTTTGTACGACCATTCATATTCCATGCATATAAAACAAACACACTTCCTTACAGAAGTACGTACGTACATGCGTACGTAAATATTACTTTCACACACGCACACTCCCCAGCACACAAATTTTAACACACATGCAGAACATATATAATATATTGTAGCTATTCACGCGGACTCGACAGTCCTTTTCGTAATTTAGATAATGTTGCACCTTAGAATAGAGATCTGCTGAAACAGTTTCTTTTTTTTTTTTTTTTATTAAACATGTCCGATTAAATTATCTACTTTATACTCGCTGATTTTGTTTAAAATTATATTCCGGCCGTGTTTAGGACTTCGTTTAAAAAAGTTCGGAGAACTTTGAGTTTATTTCTTCTTTTTTTTCTCGTCGTGAAATACATAGTCACGAGTTTAAAATAAAAACAACAAAAAACCGCCGTAATACATTTATTATATTGTCGAAGATCATATTTTTGATATAAGTAAAAACAAAATTAGCAATAATTATATACAATATTAAGAGATCAACGAATATCTTTAAGATATTCAATATTAAATGTTACGTTTCCGAATTTTTTATCACCAAACGTTTTGTTAAAACCTTTTTTGTGGTCAACATACATGTGTATATATGCACACATATATATATATTATATATATACATATCTTATACATATATAAACATATAAACATTTATAAAAAAAAGCCTTTGAAATTTGTTAGCAACAACAACATAAGTCAAAAGCTTTTATTACTAATATTATCGCCACTAAAAAGAATCTAATTACACTATCACCAGCAAATGTAAAATTACTTAGCTCGTTTTAAGTACCACAACCTCTTTTATTCTTTTCACGGCAAGAATTCTGCCCACACGGGCTTCGAAATACTGAACGTACGATCTTTGACCCTGCGCATGCAATGTAATTTTTGTGAAGATCCCAAACTCAGCCTAGAACGGTAGTACAATCGATCGCTTACTAGTCTGATTACTAGGTATGCTTTTTTTAACATAAATTGTTTCTTTTCAAATATATTATAAGAATTATAGATACTAAATTTGCGATCCCCTCTTGGCAGGCGATTAATACGACATTGTGGACGTAACTACCTAAAGTTTCCGATACGCTCGTGTTTTTACATTGACCTCGAAATTTATCATTGTTCAGTTTGTCACGACAGGCATCAAGTGACTGAATAGCTGAAGGAAGAAGGATTGTAAATCACAAATTATTTTGACCTTCTTCCTCGGTCGAGAATCATAAATAATATACATTCCGATAAACGTGGACTACACTGTATGTAATGCTCAAACCGAACGTGACATTGACGATAATTGATGTGTAAATCAAAGGCTATTATTTGCAAAGAAAAAATCAAGATATTTTTATGTCGCAATTTACTTATTAATAACATTCTTTATGGTCACATCTTTGCTATATTTTAAGATAGATGTAACCGCGCAAACAATGTGTCGTAAAAAGCTTTGTTTTACTATAACTAGATATATTAACATTAGGTGTGTATAGGTACTTGACAAGATTTGTAAGTCTTTAACGCGATCGTAACCAATGTCAAAGCGAAAGGTTAATTGAAAGTACAAATGCACATGCATTTACGCGAGATCAGTGAGTCCACTTACCCCTAAAAGCGACTCGTCCAGTTTACAACCTGCGATTCTCGACGAACCATCCAGCCCTAACTGTAAAATCAATGATGTCTGATTGGATCAGTTCTCCCGGGTGTAACGACACATCCCAATCTCCGATGTATGACCCAGGCGACAATGACGAAGTAAATACACGATACGACTGGATTGGGAGAGAAAGGACTTTGGGGCGGTGGGAGAAACGGGGGTACACTAAGTGACATTAATTACCTCTTTTATACTTTTATATATATATATATATAACTGGAGAAAATACTACTGAATTACGAATTGGACAGATTGCTTGTGTGGTCTCGCTTCATGATGCGTATTACTTATGCGTAATACCAACACTCGACACCGACACTTGGAAAGAGAGTCTTCGGGCCGCTTGAAAAGCCCCAAACGCGCTCTTTTTATACAACATAGCGAAGTTATCGCTTGTTGAATAATAATAATTATAATTAATAATAATTATTAATAATAATATACTACGCGCGAATTTGTTTTATCTTTCCTTAATAGAGGCAGTCTTTGAATGGCTGCTCGACAGAGTCCATGAGGATTTTTCATCGTTCCCGTGGACGTGGATATCGATTGACGGTTTTATGGGATCGTCTCGACGCTCCGAAGCGTCGTGACGGGTTTTCTCTGGGGTGTCCGATACGTTCAGGCGGCTAATCCGTGAGGTGTTTGATGGAGAAGTGCGGGATACTGTTGAGCCACGTGCGCCAGCTGATGATGGTGGCTGCCGGTGTGTGCGTGCGCGTGTGTGTGTGGATGGACTACGGCTGTGGCGGGCGTCACACTGCCCGACGACGGCACGTGAACCGGTGTTAGCGGCGTCTGAGACTGCGGCGCGTGGAGACTGTGACCTGTTATGAGGCTGCTATGACTGCTCCCGTGGCTACCACCACCATTGGACGAGGTGTGGCTGTGATGATGATGCCCAAAGACGACCCCAGAGAAGGCCACGGGTCACTGATGATGTTTCGTAGAGCCGTTCGCGTGATGCGCCTGCGCAACCACGTGGTGACTCGAGGGTGGCGCGTGCGCGGTACTCGGATGGTGGTGACTGCCTGCCGCTGCGTGATGATTCGCATTGTTTGCGGTGGTGCTGTTGTTGTTGTTGTTCTGCTGCTGAGACTGTCGTTGACTGTTCTTCTTATTTTTCATCCGGCGATTTTGAAACCAGATCTTTACTTGACGCTCGGTTAGATTCAGATTGCGCGCGAGCTCCCATCGTTTCTGCTTCGACACGTAAGCGTTGAAGAGAAACTCCTTTTCTAGCTCCAGTGTTTGGAATTTCGAGTAGGGTTTGCGTTTCTTCCGCACCGTCACCTGACCCGTCCATTCCAAGGGGTTAGAACTGCCGCATCCGACACCCATCCCGGCTACGCCAACCCCGACGCCGACACCCGCAAGCGAACCTGCGGGAAACAACGAAGATGGGGAGGAACCCCACATCACTTAACACAATTAGTTGGCCGATTATAAAACAACCTATAGCTTCTAGCTATTAATATTTGGCAAGGGGGGAAATTACAGTTCAAAAAGTAATAATTCCTAAAGCAGATTGAAATAATAATTCCTCAATTTTACAAGAGTTTTCAATTTAAGAAATTCCAGATTATTTATTCATTCATAAGAATAATTTTTTTGACACAAGCCAGAGATTCAAAGTGACGAGTTTATTACAGCTTGTATATTGGTTTCATTTACTCGCCGAGATGTTCAAACAGATACCACATGAAGAAAGCGGTTGCACATTTTCTTTCTTTTTATGACTATCGCCAATTGTTACTAGCAAGTGGTAGAAATGAGCACAGATCGGTTCGTCAGTCTGTGTATTGGCGCGTAACCGATACCGTTATTCTTTGTTTTGTTTTTTAGAAAACGCATTTATTCTTTTTAGTCATCATCTACTACCAAAGTAAATATAATTCTGCCGTCCAAGTTGTATAAAGTAATCAAGCCAAAATGAATTTATTTACTGTGTAAAATCATTATCATCTTAAAACTGTAGATATCTGCCATTTCAAGAAAAAGATCGTAAACCTCAAATGCTGTAAAATAGCACATATATCATTTATTCAATTATCTGTCGAGTATTTAAAGGTGTTTAGATTTTAGAATTAGCAATTCTAAATGAAGGAATGCGGTGGTTATATAGCTTTTAATTAACTCGTAAAATTACTATAATTCATTAAAAGATATTCTGCGCGAGTAAACAAGATATGTTGATATATCGCGAGTACAAGAAAAGTCGTTCTTTTCAGAATCTTTACAGATGAGAAATAATAATTTTGACAAAAATGTGTACGTTAATGTATTTTGCATAGGGCGCATCAGTGATTGAATCCGCGCCTGAAACAACTCCGAATGTCAAAGTGTGCATTTCAGATATACGTGTGTACGCGCAAACGTTACTCGTGTGTACGTATATATATCATGCACATGAGGGTTGCCGCAGTCGCTCCTGGCACAGCGGTATGATATAATTGGACTGGTTTCTACTAACCACACGAAAAACATAAAGCCACAGCCTCAAATACGCAGAACCGTTGTTAGGTTGTTAGATCTGGTCTCCTAACATCTCAACACTGCCCGGTGGTTTTTAACAGCGTATAGTAGGTACGCTCCGTTGCAGACACAGAATGTGGAGCGACACGAATGCATTTGTTAAAGCGAAATATACGACAGGATGGTGTAAGGAACATACAAGTAAAGAGCCGCGCCAGTGGAATGAAGCGATTACGAAAGCTCGCGACTCATCATCCGTCTATCTTTAACTTAGCCATGGACTGGATAAACGTCTTTTTTAAAGATGCACGAGAATGCAACAAAATTGTTTTTGTTCCACGACAACAGATGTCTTTATTGTTATTTCAAGGACATTTAGATAATTGTTGTAAATATTTTTTAAAATTTATATTGCAATGTTTTTATTGTATTTTATTTTTGTGAGAGAGTGTTTAATGGGTATTATTTTAGCGCGCGCCATTGACATATTATATCAATCTGTAAAAAACTTAAAACAAGATACTTGTAATGTTTCAAATGCGTTTCCTCTAAAATCTCATTTCTAATATAGAATAGAATGTATACGAAAATTAAAATTACTTAATACAAAAAACTCAAAGACAAAGAAAAATTTCAGTATAAAAATATGTTGTTTTATTCGAAGGAACCGCGGGCCATCTATTTTTAGTCTATCTCAGATCTGGTCACACACACAAACATTGCTGCCGGATGCAACATTATCCGATCCGTCGGACCATGTGCTTTGGATTAAGCGCCGCTCATTATTGTAATATTTAAATTATTTTTCTTCGATTAGTAATAATCGAATTAAAATATTTTTGATTATCGACACTCACATACTCACATAAGGAAAATTAAATTTAAAAAACATAAAAAACCAAAATTTATAATTTAAATAATAAGAAATTTAGAAAAACAATATGTACTTTTCAATAAAATAAAAATAAAATAGATTTTTTTTAGATAATTAGATGTGCAACACAATTTTCATACGAAAAAAGTAATATATAAAAATTGGAAAAAAATTGTTCAAAAACTATTCAGAAATTGCAGCAAATTTTTCCTGGTCGACATTCAAAGTCCTGATAGAAATAGCTACCTACTCGAAGGGTTCGTATAGCTAGGGTTGTCGTGTATAACGGAGTATAATATCGATCGGGAACAAGTCGATTTCTGTTATATTTACCACATTTTTTGTTACGACTTTACAGATTAAACTTGACTAAACGTTAGATAAAAAATCGTTTAGCATTAGATAAATATTACATGTTTAATGACGTCAAAGATTTGCTTGAGCAATAATTTAGTAAATTATTCAGAAGATTATCATGTACATAAGATTCTAAAATCTTTAAAATCACTTTCCTATACGGTAGCGCGCGCGATTTTATTTCAAAGAATTAAACTAAAAGAAGAAAAATGTTTTAAATATAAAAAACACGCACAAATTATCCTGTCAAACGGCTCGTTCATATTTTATTATTCGTACAGGAATGAACAGAATATTTTATTTCAGAGAAACCGGCAACTCTCTTGATAAAGCCATATTTTAAATGCTAAATGTATTCCATCCATGATGTAAGTGCGCATAGTGATGACCCAGTGAGACTAAAAAAAGGCTTAATTAAGCATGGGCACAAATCCGTAAACGCGAACCAATAAATGCTTGCGAGCAATCTGCGCTATCGCGATACTAAGATAATATCTTATACAAAGATCTACACTAGCACGCGGACACCTGGGCACACTGTAATTCTTGCGAGATTACCCGAACTAATATGTATAGGACGGCCTGGCACGCGGATACGGTGCAAGCGGCGCGCTCTCTTGTCCCGTACGAACAGGCAAAGATAATGGAGCCGCCATCTATTGGGTCGCGCTTAAACTATACACGTCACTCCGGCTAGTATATATATTTGTATGTATATACACATATCATATAGCACGCGTGCGCGCACGCATCTCGCTCTCGTGCGCGTACAATTAACTCGCGGCTTTATTACGCAAATGCTATCTATTGGTTATCAGAGCGTCGTCGATAGTGGTCGCACAAGTACAACAAAAGTACAAACGATAAAACGCGACAACGAGCGTTGTGCCGCATGCAACAGCGATGCAAAGACTTTTTGTAAGGACAAGGCAAGCGAACGATACAGTGCGATTAATGAAATACACGATTTTTATATGTCTATGAAATTCAAATATTGTTATGCGATATATTGATAACATATGTAATTATGTAGAATATGATTTACAATCTCTAATAGCTGTGATTATGACGTAGTAAAAGTTATAATACACGCATATACCTATATTACCTATAAAAATCAGGTTTTGACAAAACTCGTTGTAACATTGTATGAATTACCATATATGTGATAAAAGACCAACTCGATACATGTTTTATCATGTAAATGTGTTTTTATGTTTTTTTTTTCATTTTGCAACAATCTCACAACAAATAACGAACGATATTCTCTGTCAGGAGTGTAACGGCGCAAATAATGGCGTTTAGAATTTATTAATTTTTTTCAAAGAAATATGAATTGACATGAAAAAGTTTGTCGTTCGAAAGTAAAAATAATAGGGAAAGAGAGTCTTGCGACACAATAATACAAGCGCCGAACAGCCGTTAGCCGGAAAGACTGAACGTCTGCACGGGTCATGGAACGGATCAGCTGATCGGAGGCGCGCGCTAGAGTTTACGAGTTACGGCCGCCAATAAACCCGCCGCCGTTCGTTGTTGCTCATGCGACGTTTCATGGGTTGCAGGGTCCCGAGAAAAGGACAGAGATGGAAGGCAGCACAAAAGAGAACGATGTGAATGAACGATGACTGCGATCTTTACTTGTGTAGTAAGTTTGTTAGAATCGTTAAGAAAGATATGCGAGAGATACACTCGGTAACAGCGAATCATGCGTGCAATAATAATAATTATTATTATTAATATTATTATTATGTAGTATGAATTAAGGACGATCTCTTTTTTTTCACGGAATCGCATTTCAAGTCTTTGACAGATTTTTCGTTACGACAAGTTAGTGAATAAGTTAAAAGGAAGTTTCATGTTATATATAAGTTTAATTTCGAATAATTTTTCCGAACGCACGCCAGAAGAACGTTATGTCAATTTACGATAGTGCAAAAAGAAAATTACTTGAGGTTTACGATCTTTTCGTTATATATAGAAGTGTGAATATATTTCAAACAACAGATAAACACTTCCAGTGCAAGTCGATCTCTTATCTATTTAAAAATTTAATTTTCAGAAAAGAATAATAATTTAAAAAAAAACCAAACTATTATCGTGAAAAATGTTTTTACTGTCACGATAAAGTTTCTAGTAGATTTATATGTAAAAAGAGATATAGATTCGAGTCTCTGTTGTGAGAAAAAGAAAAAAAACAGGATTATCGAGCCGGAATAGATACTTACCTGGAGGTGGGTAGGGACTCGAAGTAACGGGTTCGGGCGCTCCATAGTTTCTCAAACCGCCGTATCCATCGTGAGGAAAGGCACCTTCTGCAGCGACCATAGCAGCGGTGACCCTACCGCGGTCATCTGCCGCGGATGGCGCCAAGTACGGTACTCCCGCTTGCGAGTGAGGATGATGATGTCCAGCTGTGTCGACCGGATGATGATGCCTCGCGGTTGTATATGGCGTATAGTTACACCAACTCTGAGAAAAACTCTGATGGCAGGACGACACAGCTGGGTCGGCGGCACCGGAGGTGGAGCCTCCGGTAGACGATGGTGTCGTTGTCGCTCCGGCAGAGTTATAAGATTTGTAATCCGAGGTAGAACCGGCCGATCCAGCAGTTGCGGGCGACCAAAAACTAAGGGTAGCCCCGGCCTTCCGGTTGTCCCTAGACGAACCGGAGGTCGAGGTAGGATCGGCCGCCAGGTTGTAATACGTAGGGGGATTATTACCCCCGTAAGCCTGATGATGGTTCAACGATTCGCCGGCTGCTGTGGACGAGTAGTGGGAGTCCTGAGGAGGATGCGGACTGTAACTCCAACCGCCTTGAGACCCCGCCGAGGATGAGTGAGAGTGCCTTATCACGCCTGCCGCGCCCGTACCGCCTGAGGATTCTACGCAAGCAACTTCCCCGTAAGTAGAACCACCCGGTGTAGCCGTTAATCTCTTGGCGGGTATATGGAGTGGTCCGGCCGCACTGTTGCTCGCTACCGAAGAAGCGCTCGGTGAAGTTGAACTGGCGCTCGCAGTAGGCGCCGGTGGCGCTGTCGTTGCCGATGACACCGGTGCACCAGGTGAAGTCGGTGTTGTTGCCTGCTGATGAGAGCCCGGTGTCGAGGTCGTTTGCTGTTGAATGGATATGAGGGTTGAAGCTGTTGGTGGAACTGGCGGCGGGCTGTCCTCGTAAAGAGAACCGTTCATCATGGCCCACCAGGTCACCCCGGTGGAATTCCCCGCTCCGGTTGCTGTCCCCATCGGCGTAACGGAGCCAGGGTGGCCCATGCCGGAGCCACATAGCGGCGCGGCATGAACATTGTCGTACAGCGTCGCCGTTGAGCAAGCCACGTGATCGGCGATGGTGCAGATGATGACGGTTTATTACCGGTGTTATAATAATATTTATGCCGATGTCGGCGTCAATACGCGTGAATGACGGTTCCGTGACCGTCAACAAGTTCGATAATCACGACCGGTTTGTGCGATACAGGGAACACAAGAGTAATATTAATCACGTTTAAAAAAAAAGTTCACCCGAAATATGAAAGTCGTCGTGCGGTCATCATGACCGGAATAAATAAAAAAAAGTGAAATACGCGTTAGCAGTTTTTCCAATTTTCGGAAAATTTACAACAATTGAACGAAATGCGACGATGTAGATTGTCCAGAAAGTTCAACAATTAACGAATACGCAGTAAACGTGCGCGTAATGCAGAAGCGCCGACGCGATTTTCACCGAGGAACGAAAACCGGAGTGGTCATCGTGTTGGTCCGTGAATTCACAGAGTAAATAAAGAAGGCGCGTGTGGAAGAAACGGAGGTGCGAGGAAGAAGAAGAGGCAGGTGGGGATAGGGAAAATCGTGCGGGTACGCGCGTCCGACGAGGGGTTGGTGGCGGGAGAGAGGGTGTGCAGCGCCACGACAGACAGGTGGAGGGGTAGATAAACGCGGGACGGAGAAGCGGAGAGACACAAGCGGCAAGAAGGTAGACGGGGGCGCGATAAAGTGCGTGGCAAATCCGCCGACAAAAGATCCACACGCGGCAATGACGACGGCAACGACGAGGTTGACGACAACGATGATAGGATGATCGATGTGACAGCGAGAGAACCACGTGCGATGTCGTCAAACGTGTAGGTCAGTTAACAGGTCGTGTATAGCAGATTACACACGGTTGTCCAATTGGTCGATCCACCGATGCGGGATGAAGTTTTGAAACAAAAATAAAATGACACAGCGCGATTTAGAGAGAGTACATCGTTTAAGTCGGAGAGCAAAAGTTCGGAGCAGCGAAGTGTGCGCTCGATTGTCGCACGTCAGCGTTTAAAGAGAAAACGTTTAAAAAACTAGCGCGCGCTTTAAATCAGACAGGACACTTGGCAATCGTCGATGTTCTCGGCGATCTAATTCACTGCGCGACTAGTTGCACTATCATCGTCCCGCAGCTTATTATACGCAACTCGCGTAACACCCCGTCTCTGTCACATCTTACTGTCATCCCCATCGCGAAGGGATGCCGAAAGCACTTCATTCGATGTTTTGCTCGCTCACGGCTGGTATGCGCTATAGTCTATCTAATCACGGAACGCACTAGTTCGAAGCATTAAAGTCAAAGTCTTTGCAGAATTCTAGGAGTGAAACTGTGTTTTTAATCGGACCGGAATCCTTTTTCTCTTTTCAGTTTTCTTGAGATCGGTCAGGTAGTCATTCCCTTAGTGTGATGCGGCGAAGAATTTTTAGCAGGTAACAACTTTTTCGTATCGAGATATCGTGAGCCAAATACACACATGCACGACTCTCACACACATAGAACTACCCCCTTACTTCTTGCTGGCCTCGCTGAGCCGAACTGAACGTCAACTGAGAGCTCTGCCAGCGGCTTGGACTCGAACGGGCCGAAAGCCGACGCGGGCGCGATCTCTCGGATCGTTTGGTAAGTGAAGCCCGGACGGACTCGTTGTCTCCCACTCTCTTCTCGCAACCGCTTCTCGCTCGCGTGCGTTATTCTACGTTCCCCTCCTTCACACGCGTTCTAATCTGCTTTCCTTCCTTCTCCGCCGTCGCAAGCCAGTGAGCGCGCAAACATATATCAACTATCTACGGAAAAGACTACCTTCTGGCTTTCAAGTATTGCGAGCCGCGCTGATTCTCAAATATGTTGCGTTTTCTCAAGAATGTACTTTTAAGAGAGATTAAGAGAAAAAAAATTTTTTTTTAATTATCATTTATAATTCACATGATAATTACAAAACATTATATATGTATATACAAAAAATATTATCTAATACTTATAGATAATTTAATATTACTTTTTTAATTCTAATTTTTTTGTATTTTCTATTTTTAATGATGACTAAACAATTTTCTTGTAAAACTTTTTTTTTAATAAATAAATTTGCTAACTTTTTTTCTCTCTTTCTCTTTTTATTTATTTATATCTCTTTTTACCTCCGTCTTTCTATCTTTATTTAACTTTTTGTATCTTACAAATTTTTGTCAGTGAATGTATCCAAACTTTTCCCGCCTTCCTTTCTGTCACACGTGGTGAGTGAAATACCCTCATGGATCACGCTTGGTGGCAACCAGAGTTATCTTTGATAGTGTGTATGCGCATGTACACGCAGTGTGAGCAATACGTCATGGCAGTATTGCAGTCTAAATCTCGGTACTTTTATGGGCAGTAAAGTAAAACGGTCTGACAACAACTCCAGTAGCACACACGCTTTCCATCTGTATGTCCATCAGTGTCGTGTGCCACCAGGTCGTGCTGCTCACGAGAGAATCACATTCTGATAATTACAGAGATAATATTCATAATCAGAAATATAAAAATCCTTGAAATTTTCCAAAATAAATCTTTTTTTATTACAACTCGTAATTCAAGAAGACACTTTATAATAATAAAATTTCAGATTTTTAATCTTGTTATATTCTTTGTATTAATATACGAATTTATTAAATAAATAAAACTAAATCAAACATACATTAATTATCAAATATGATAATTTAGTTTTGTTCTTTTTCAAACTATTTCAGAAAAATTTGTGATGTATGATAAGACATACATTTATAACATGTTAGAGCATACTTAAGAGTATATAATTAAAAGAATATGTAATGAAAATCTAATATAACGTGCAAAACAAAAATGAGGTCGATTAAACTGTCATCAACGAGCCAGACAATGCGACGATTTTAAACGCTATTATATCGGCATACACGTGTACTAAGTAGGAAACACAACTCGTGTCTGAATACGAGTGTAATAAATCGCGCGGGAGGCGCGAGCCACCCGACGTTTGTTGTACAGGCGACGCGATCATGAATGGACTTTATAGCAGCCCGCCCATTTATAGGTAGTATGCGCGGTTTAGTAGCTATGGGCTTAATACGACGCGGTTGTATACAATTCTCCGTTTACTGTAAGTACGTACAATATGAAATGGTAGGTTTTATTTGAATTTTCGAAAATGATCATCGATTGCATCAAGCTGCAAACGTTGTCGAAAAACATCTCTATAAACTTTGTCTCTTAGGTATACGTTTGTTGACTTCGAATCGACTAATTGCCAAGTATCGCAATGTTCTTGAATTATTTAACATTTTTTATAATTTACATTCTCATGCACGAAAACAGATTGTTATTCTATTAATTAATTTCTCATTTATTATTTATTTAAAAAATCTCTGTTTAAAATAATATTATGCAACTCACCTTGTATACCGGGTAGTGTTCCGGGGAACACGCGGGAAAGCCTGCAATATTAAGCAACTTGTTAACTGCTTTATTTACAACGTGGAATATTTTATAAATAAAAAACGCATAAGAACGGTGTTAAATAAAATATTTTAAGTCAATTATATATTGTGCGTTTTTACTCGATTATAAATAATTTAGCACTGCTGTATAAGCGTATGAATAAATGCTAATAAAACGGAAGAGAGACTGACCTGCTGCTCAGCTCGAACGGGTGAAACGTCTTCTCCACGGCGCCGTACACTTTGAGGCCTTTTATTTACAAGTTCAAGGAGAAAAATATCAGCCTGAAAAACAAAAAAACCGGAAGCACAAATTTAACAAACCGTTTATTGATATCTGTCTTTCATAACAGACCATGTCACTGTGAGTTTTATATGCTTTTAGTAGCTTCTATCACGGCAGGTATAAAGTTCTCTACCTTGTACAACCATTAATGTAACTCTGCTCCATCACGTAACCTTATTTCGCTCTACCTTCTACACTCAAAGTCGTCGTTCCATCAAACCACCTCTTACAAAGTTTATTATCCACTTTATACTAAGAATCATTTAATTTGATCAAATACCAATTTCGTATTTTTTTAAAACAATATTTTCTACATTTCTAACTTTACAATATAAATAAAAACTTAACAATATAAATTGTGAAAACTGAAAATTTAGGTTATTCTTTACAATGATGCAAAAATACGAACAAGTCTCAATAAGCGCGATTATTTTTTTGAAATATTTAACAAACATTTACAGCGTCTAAAATTTGAAAAACTGTAATTTAAAACAACTATTGAAGTAATTGAATATATAGCTCTGCAATTCTCTTAGAGATAGAAAATTCAATTCAGAGAACGAATCTATGAATTTCAATTTCCCATGACTGGCGCGAATATCCCTCTGCTGAAAATAGAAATTGTGAAAATGCTCTCTAGAGGAATCCGCAGAGTTAAATCTCCGAGAGAGAAGACGCGAAAGAAAGATTTTATGCTGTGTTTCAGAGCTTAAGAACAAGAAAGAAAATACAAACGGATATCGCTCTAAAACATTTTAGTTACAAATATAACAATAACAATAATAATACTAGATCGATATAAATGAAAGTTTTTTAAAGCTTTTATAGAAGTTTCTCAGCTAATTATAGTCTAGAAAAATGTAGTTGTGTTTAATTTTGTCTAGCTTTTGATTTTTTATGAACTTACCTTTCTTTTAAATTTTTTGTTTAAATTAACATTAATCGTGAATCCAAGAACACACTACGAACTTCAATAATGTAAAACTTAATCGTGCATTTATTTCTGGTAAAAATTATATGATAATAATTTACAAATATTTTTATACAGATAACATAAACGTACTTTGTATGAGAAAAACGACTGTTTTTAGCGTCTCCCAAAAACCACCATAAAAGAACAGAAAGTTTCTTTACCTCGATCAAGGGAGAAATGGTGTCGGTAAAATGTAGGCAGGACGTGCCATGGGGGATATTACTTTTAAGCTTGTAATACGAAGGGACGAAGGAAGGTCGAAAACTGCGTTTGGCAAACTCGGTCTGTGCAAACCATAGGAGATTGGTCGAGGGCGCACAACAATCGGACACGAGAAAGCTCTTGTTTCCCTTTCCATTCCTTTCGTCACCAAGGGGGTAACGTTACCAGAATGCCCACAGTCGTGAGCTCACACGCACGGTCTACTTCGCACAAAATATTCAAAGAGAACTGGCCCATTTGTCACTCAATGCTATTCAACCCCTCTTCAAGCGTACACCGGCCTGTATAATCAAATCAGAAATCGTACATTTCTCGACGATTACGTGCCATTTTGAGCGGAAATTTGATTTATATGATAATATTTTATTTATGCTCGTATATTTGATTTTAATATTTTGTATGTAATATTTAACTATTTTGTGTAAAGTAAAATTAAATCGTACAATTGAAAGAATTCTGTTTATTAAAAACGCTCTAGTTTGTAAAAACTAAATTTTTATAAGAGAAAGAAAGAGACATTCGAAATAAAAAAAAAAAATTATGCACAGCGGATAAACGTTTTACTGTGAACGTCGTTTCGCGAGTTTCATTATCTCTCCAATACCTCATTCTTTTTCTTATCTTCTTCCATTGCCAGTTTCAAGAAGTAAAATAGAGTTTCGTTACTTTAACAGATTTAACATTTAAGTTGTGTCTATATATATATATATATATCATAGACATCAAGACACTTTCAGAGAGAGCTGTAAGTCTCTAAGAAATACCATTCAAAGTAAAAAATGTAAATGCAAATTGCTTTATCAAAAAGTGTTTTTGTTAAAGCAGATACAATTTTTGTGAACTCATAAATCTTTTATATAGCCGAAAACTTTTTTTTACCCGTTTCTCATTACGCAGCAGTTCTAAACATAACATGGCGAAAGATTTAATATTTTTCTGAGATAATTAAAAAATTTAACCCTTCTTTTATCTTCTCTCTTTCTCCCTTTCTCTCTCTGTCTCTTCCTACGACAAAAAAGTTTTAATTCCCGCAGGATGGTGAAATTGAAATATAGTGTTCAGAGATCTACCGAGAGGGTAAGAAGAAATTATTAATTAAACTTCTCCTTCCTGTTTTCTGCTATAATTTATGCAAAATTTATATTATTAGGTATTTCTCTTATTATTTAATATATTTCTTCCTCAGTTTTGAGTTATTTATTCACGATAAAAGTTATTAAATATACTATCAGCTTGATATGCACATGTATATGTGTTAAATAATTAATGCTCTCGAGAGAGACGAAAGTCTCACTCTAATTAAGGCACACCTCGTCTTTTCTTGACTCTATACATACTCTAAACGCACGTAGAATGGAAATAGTAAGTCTAGTATGCGAAGCAGCTTGTAAGGATGGAGAAGCGGAGGGATGGAAGAGTGGAATATCGCGTCTCATAATAGTGTGACGTGACGCGTGCCAGTTTCAACGGGGCGTCGAGACGCCTTTCGGCGCTTCAATGCCGTCGGCACCGAGACGCCCTCTCGTTTCGGAGGCAGACGCTATGGCCGGGCAACCAATCCTGGTCGGCGATTCGAGGAACGCTTCCAATATGGCAGTGGCGTGCGC